GTTCAGCTGCGCATGCCGCTGCTTCGCGTGGGTTGGCTGTGATGTTGCCCAGTCCTGGGCGACCCAACAAAATCATCGGATCGAGCGCTGTCCCCGAAGGCGCAGATTGGAGCCACCTGGTTGATCGAGGTGCAAGGACATCAGGGACAGGGCCACCCGGGGCAGTCCGGACAATGGGACCTCTGACCAGCACCGCTGGACGCCCATCAGGCGCATCAGAGATGATCCTCCCGCGGGTCATGTGTGGGAGCAAGAACGGCCGCCCCGTGCTGGCGTCAATTGGGATGGCACTTTCGGGCATGCGGTATGGGCCGTAGTGCACGGGGTCACCTCGGCTGCCCTGGGGCCCTGCGGCCGGGGCGATGGAGGCTCGAGATGCTTGGATGGCTGGTTTGCCAGAGAGGATTGCGCGGATGGAAGGAAGCGGGACGCGCTCTTCGGAATTTGTATCGGGTGGGATTCGTCGAGCGCTTCGAAGAAGGTTGATTTCGTTCAAGGGTTTCAATTTGATCCCGTTGCCTGCTTTGCGACGACTGCTGCTGTTGTTCGCGTTATGGATGCCTGCTGCTGGCTTTGATTTTGACGATGATGCTGATGGTGCTACGACTGTCGAGCCCGCTGTCTTATTCTTGTTCCGCTCTTCAACGTCCTTGTACGTTGGCGCATGAATGTCATAAGTGGACAGCAGGTAGTTGTCCAAATCCATCGAACCGTCTACTGCCATAATGTCTGACCGGAGGGCTTCGAACCGACCCGGGATGTCGCCCGTCAGACCATCGAGCGGGCCGAGACCCAACCCCAACCTTGCGTCGTCATGCTGCTCTCGCGCTGAAGCGGCGAAAGAAGAGCTGTCAGTGGTTGCGGGCGTCGCCTGCCAGTCCATTGGTTTCTCAGTTGTTGTGAGTGTAGCTGCGTTGGTGGGCTGCCAGTCCATGTGCTTGTCCGTGACGGGCATGTCGCTCGGTGAAGTCCGGTTGAGCCCACGGGTTCCGCTTGCACGAAGACGTTGCAGTTGCTGCTGCTGTTGTTGTTGTTGTTGTGGAGCTTCAGGCACCGACTCGGACGCGCTCGCCTGGCTCTGCGCATCTGAGTCGGGAAAGCTTTGATGGATGGGCGCCGTGTGGAGACTGACAAGTGCTTCTGCAGCCGACAGAGCCGGATCAAGCGCGAGCATGTTGTTTTAGAGCCGATACAAAATCGTCTTCCTAGCCTGGAGCAGGAAGAGTTGGTAGTTCGATCTTTGTGTGTTGGCAGCGACCAAGAAGGACTTGATCGACCGACGAGATAAATAGAAGCTCAGGATGTAAGGTCTATGGTTGTGAGTGGCCGACGTCCCAGCAACTTTGTAGCAAAAAGGTAAGTAAGAGAATGAGAGGGAAGCGAGAGTAACGCGCGGGGTTGTTTATTTTGAGGAAGAGTCACTTGGGGCGCGTTGCGACGTGTGGAAAGGGAATTTTATCTCAAATTCAACCCCGCTTCGCCTTCGATGTGTCTGAGTGCGGTGTTTTTCTAATGTGAAGCAGTGTCCCGCAAAAACAGACGGAGGGCAATCTTGGCGTGAAAGAAAAAGAAGCGAAGGGAAGGTAGGAACGAGATGGGCCAGGCCGCGCGGAAGCAGATAGCTGGGGGAGCCAGACGCTGAGGAAGAAAGTTTGGGGTGCCATGCTGTCAGAATTGGATTACGAGAAAGGGCGCTCTCGACGCGTTTATTATGTCAGACGTGTGTCAGCAAACGGAAAACAAATGTGAGGATTAGTCAGCTTGCTGCGCTTAACGATGAGTCACCATACGAAAGTTGCGTCGTGGCTGCTCCCATTTTGACAACGACGACACCAAAAAGGAAAAGAATAAAACAGACATTTCTTGAAAGTCTGAAAAGAAAAGGTGGATTGACTGCAACAATGAGTGCAACGGTGCTCTACAACAATGCAGTGAAGCAGACGCATCAGCTACAGCAAGAACTCGCCCAGCTGGAAATAGGCCGGGACCATTCAGCAGCCATTCAAGGTATATTCCTACCTCTCAAATAGCTCAATATCCGCCTGCAGCCTGCTAAAAAACTCAATATGACCATCAGGTCAGATCAACGCTGGCTTAGCGTCTCTGCAACGTTGTGCGAATGATCTGGATGATTTCGCGCGGAGGGAGGTGACGGCTGCGAAGAAGGAGAAAGCTATCGCGTAGGTAAAACACGTCCGACGTTGGGAGTGGAAGTAACGACAAATTGGTTGCTCATGCTTTTTTGTTGTGTCTCGGGGTGTGGTTTTTGCAGGAGAGCAAAGAAGGTGCGGGAAGATTATACAGCGATACATGTCGCGTTCACGAAATGGAAGACAGAAGAACGAGCCAAGGTGCGTTCAGCTTTGCACCACCCATCACCACCTTCCAGGCTTGTCGAATTGACACGCGTCCTAGGTTGCCGCACAAGAACGGGAAGCTCTCCTAGGGTCCAGCTCCACGCATGCCGACCGCCGCACATCCTCCGCCGTCAAACACGGCTCCACCGACCCGCGGTCCGCCGACATGTCGATCCTCATGTTCGACAGCATGCTCAAAGAGAACCAAGTACTGGACGCCTCGGGCAACCGTATGGATGAGATGCTACATATGGGCCAGGAAGCATTACAGGAGCTGTATCAGCAGAGGGACACGTTGAAGGCAAGTACGGCGAAGCGCCCCCGGAATTCCTGTTGTTTCTGGGTACGTGTGTTGATCGTGTGGTGACGCGTTCTTTAGGGCGCGCAACGGAGACTATACGATATTGCCAACCATCTGGGCCTATCCACTTCGGTGATAAAGTATATTGAACGGAGAACGACGGAAGACAAGTGGCTGTTTTTTGGAGGGGTCACGATAACGATACTGGTCATGTGGTTTATTGTGCATTATTTGGGATAATGGGAAATTTTGATTTAACGATAAAAGGATGGAATTATGATACAGTTACAATTGTGAGGGGAGTGATGGTAGGTCTATGTGTAGAAAAGCTCTGCATGTCTTCAACGCTATCAGATAGGGGTGGGGAGGAGAACTACTGCTGCTCAGTAGCCGCCTTCGTCAACCCATCCGCATACTGGAACGCCCCACTCGTCTCATACTCGTACATATCCAGACCCACAATACAGCTTTCTCTAACCACTCGTTCCGGGTCGTTAACAAACTGCTTGAGAGCCTCGAGGCACTCTGGTTCGGCGATACTGCCGAGGGCTTCGGCGCATTCGTGACGCACCATGCCCTCTTCACTGGTGTTGGAGAGGCATTTGATGAGAGCGGGGACACTGGCGGGGTGTTGCATTTGGCCAAAGATGTAGCCTAACCGACCAACGAAAAAAAAAAAAAAAAAAAAAAAAAAAAAAAAAAAAAACCGTTTCATGATGAGGACATCAGAGGGTTAATCAAAAGTCACTGCTTACGACATACCAATCTCATGTCTGAACAACGCACTCTCATCATGCAATCCCTCGGCCAACGCCAACACACTCTCCGCATCGCCCCGATTTCTCAACGCAAACATGGCGCGGTACCGCTTAAACAGTGACAACTCTGTATCCAGCAACATGGCCCTCAGTTCCGCCGTCGTCTTCTCCTCCTTCTGCTCCACCGGCGGCGCAGGGTCGACCGACGTGTACGGGCCCGAGGACGCCTCAGCAGTAGCAGTTCCATTCCGCAACGACACTTCATATTCGATCTTCTCAATCGCCAATACACAGGTTTCTCGCACAGCGCGGGAGGCGTCCGTGTCGCGGTACTGAATCAATATTGGTAAACTCTGCTCCAACCCAATTGCGCCCATCGCCTCGGCCGCCTCGTGGCGCACCATTGGGTCTTCATCCAGTGTCTCTAGCACCTTGACGAGGGTAGGCAATGCGTCCGGGTTCCGCATTTGACCCAACACGTATGCGAGTTCATGTTTCAGGAGCGCGGAATCGTCGGCGAACCCTTTGCTGATAATGTCGACGGATTCGCTGCTGTTGAGGGATTTGAGCGTGAAAAGAGCCCGGAAACGCCGGTCGAGTGGGACCGTCGGGTCATTCAACTGCGAATCGAGGGAGGCGTAGGTTTTGGCGTCGGCGACGACAGGAGATGTGCTTGTTACAGTCATTTTTGGGACTGCCGTGAGTGCTGGGCGTGGGCGTGTGTGTATGGGACTATAGCACTGCACTAAAGTCTGGACAAAGAAAAAAAAAAAAAAAAAACGAAAAAAGTGTTGACAGGTGAAAGGAGCGTTTGTTCCGGCAAGAAGTGGCTTGGGTTCCGGTTTCACAAAACCAACGCGCTTTCTCGCTCCTATTCCGTGTCAGGTTCAAGCATGTCTGATATTCTACAAAACGTTATTATCCCACCTCTCTGCTGATGCTCTTCGGCCAGGGATATACAAAAGCAGTGAAAGAAAAGGGGGAAAGCCTGCTTGCACAATTCCGACAGTCACTCAGAAGAGCACGGCCAAAATAAAATACAAAGGATCTGCGTGCACTTTGGCTCCTCAACAGAAGCTAATTGTTATCCGAGATTCCACCAGCTCCTTCAATGTTCCACAGGTCTGGTGGAAGCAAAACGACGACCCGGAAGGGTTTCGAACCCGCAACCTCTGGATTCGAAGTCCAACACGCTGCCATTGCGCCACCAGGCCGATGTGCCGCACGGTGGCGGGCAAAAAAACTGTTTTATTTTGCTTGTCATTCGTGCTAATGACTTCCGGACGAGAATGCAACCTTGCCTCTCACATATGAGAGGTAAACCACCCTTCTTACGAAGCTTTTTGATCCGGAAAACGTGCAAACCATTCGCCGATGTTTTGGTACACCCTACGTGGACACCAAACTCGTTTCAAGGCTGCTGCTCCCGAACGAGAAAATGGCCAAAAACTCGTCACCGCTAGAACGAGCGCCGTTGACTGTACTGGGATGGCAACAGCTCGTACTCGGTCCATCTGGACCATGTTAAGCGAATGAAAAGTCAACATCAAACACGCGAGCGAGAAACACAAAAAAAGTATTCAACGAGCCAGTCAGGGGTCGAACCTGAGACCTTCTCCTTCGGAGGGAGATACGCTGCCACTGCGCCACAAGCCCGTTATGACTTCTGTTCATGAATAGAAAGTAAGATATAATCGTGATCCAACAGCGGCCACACAATACATTGTTTCGTTCTCCAGTGGTTATTTAAACAAAGTTACGGATGATTGGCGCTCTTGCCAGCCAAAATAACTGGCTTCAAAAATGAAACACTGATGATCAAAAACGAGGACGTGGGCGGTGACAGCCGAGAGACGATTTGCTAACCTATGGAAACTCGCCTGAGCTGCAGTTCAATGAAACATGAAACATTGCTGACTGCGCTTGCGCCACACGCAGTCAAATTTCGAACCATTTCCCGCCCGCCGCACCTGCGGACCCTCTTCTCTGCACGCCATATAGGCTGGAGTTCTACGTAATTATCTTGTCAAGGGTGCTTGCACCCCTCTGACAGAAATGAAATTGGATTCGATACAGAGAAGATTAGCAGGGCCCCTGTGCAAGGATGACCCGCGTACGCTGAGTGGATCCGGTTCGCCGGCCAATTGTTTTGCCTCGGATATGTGGCAGTTTAATGATTGGATTATGCCGCGTAGTATATTATATGTACAAAAGGAACAGAAGGACACACCCACTAGTGCGTCGCAAGTGTCACTGGGAAGGAGCAAGATATGCGTAGAATGCGTGGGGGTGGCTATGAAACCCAACTTTCATCTAAAAGTTGTACCCCAGTGCTTTTCTCAGATCTTTATTCATTCCTTCCAAGACGGGTCGTTCCCAGAGATCAATAGCCGTGTTCGCGACGGCATCCATGTCCACAACGCGTTCGACATTGGTGAACAGGTATACGAGTTCGGTGGCGGAACGGACGGCTTCGATTTTGCGTTTGCAGGCGAGGAGGAGCGAGAGGCCGAGGTAGGGGAAGATGCCGGGGGCGCCGCCGATGAAGATGTCCCAGATACTGTTGTGGGGGGGGGGGGGGGAGAGCATGAGAAAAAGGATGGGAAGATCGGGTTGTGAAATCGGAAAACTACGTACCCTTCTAGAGATTGTGGCGGGAGCACGTTTGCAAAGTAGGTTCGGAACCAGCTATGGGGAGGAATCATGTGAGAATGTGAACGTTGTCCACCGTTCGTGGTTATGAGACAGCCGTGCGAGTACCTGTAGCAATAGACATCTAGACAATTTCCAAAGGAGAGGATGTGGTTCAACAAGGGTGCATTTTGGGCCTTGAGCAGATTCTGTAGGGCACCCATCTCTGTCATGATTCGTTCTCGTTCCTAGCGAGCAAAGGGGGGGGGGGGTAGGGGAATACAAGAATAAAGTAAAGTTGTAAGCTCAGTGAAAAAACGGAAATCCCCCAAGAGAGATGCATTACATTTCACACACGCGCGCTAGAACTCACGGCATCAATCGCCGGCCCATGTCCAGGCAGCGAGACATTGTATTTAAGGACAAACGACTCAAACAGCCAGTAGGCGTCGGACTCGCTCGTATCGCAGACTTCGAGCATCATGTTGGCGAGGGCGTGCAGGTGGGACAGGGACGGGAGAGAGGTGGGGGTGAAGGCTTGGGAGAGGTGGTGCGGAGAGCGCGTGTCGAGTTGGATGAGGAGCATGTAGACCATTGTGCTAGCGGTGAGGTTGTCATCTGGTCTGCGTGAACGAGGACAACATAGGTTAGTGGTTCATTTCTGGCCCCAATTGTTCATGTAGATTACCTGGTGGCCGACGATGGACGACTCAAAACGGCGACACACTGCTTCAAGTCCTGAAACTGTTCCTCGCGTTGGGCATCCACAAACGGCCAGACTTCTTTGGCCAGGGATATGGTGCCCAGCAGCACCTTCCACACCAGCGGGCGATAGGCATGCGGGATGCGGACCCATAGACAGAGCTTGTTCAAGCGTTCGATGTCTGTATATGCAAAAGAGAGTGTCAGAAGAGTGACAGAGTGAGCGCGAGGGGGGAGGTGGGTGGAGGTCGTTGTTACCGAGAATGTCGCCCTGGAGGGCAGTTTCGAGAGAGGGTTTCGCTTGGACAACCTGCAGGCCGAGGGAACCAAAGTAAGTTTTTCTAAAGTTGGCACTTGCCATGGCCTTCCTCTGTCCCGACCAAACAGCGACGAACTACAGGAAGTCTCCAAGACAAAAGTTGGAATGCAACATCAGCACTGCTGTACGCATTGGACTGACCTAGATCTAACATGCATGCTTTGGTCATAATTCCTTCTAGATCTAGTATACAGCAAAAGGGCCACAAATAGACACGTGAAAGAATGGCACCTCCGGAGTCAATCAATTTATGCCCATTTGGGATTGATGAATTTGATGGACTGATGGAAGATGATGATGTCAAGCCCACATTCACATTCAAATGTAGACAAGAATAGCTATCAATATGGAAATGTGTAAACAAAATAATCAGCCCATCTACGTATCTACAGTACTTGCTTGTGCATGGTGGACACTTGTGTGGGTAGATACTAGAAAGCGCGCGTCAATGAGATCAACGCACATGCAAATAATAACGCGTGTGTAGAATGAGGGGACGCTCGTGTCCTCCTATGACGCCCTCTTTTTTTTTTCCCCCTTGCGCATACATTCTTTTGCAGAGGACGCCATTTTATGCAACTCTTGGCGACGTCCAGTATCATACGCTGCGCACATTGAACGCGCGAAACACTGGGAGGGACCTTTGGTTTGACAAAAAACCTCATACTGACCCTCAGCGCCGGCATTGTTGACTCCCACGCTCCCCGGCCACTCTCAGCACAATGCTCTCCTACATCCCCGTCGTCGGCCGTCTGCGAGTCGTAGACTACCTGCGTCTCTGCATCGCCGTCTCCATCCTCATATTTGAGCCCGTCCTGCGGTTCGTCTTTGCCATATTCACTCCCTTGCGATATATCGTCGATTGGGTCAGACGCGTTCTCGTCTCCAAAGATAAGCTGGAAGGCCCTATGATCGATGAGGATGGAAGACCCATCATCGCTCAGTCTGCGGAAGACGGCATTGGAAAGGCGGAAAAGATTCTGGAAGGATTGAACTCGACAGAGGATTTTGTCCGATTCTGGTAAGGCGTGACTTTGAAGCGTCGGCAGTAAGGAGTTGAAGCGCGACAAGCGACGATTGAATCCTTGCCGAGGCGTGATTGGAGCGAAGCGCGGGCCTATCTCGCGCAGATCCAAATTGGAGCTCTCGCTCGAGTATTGTCATCGCTTGCTCACTCTCTCCCCTCTTCCGTAGGGGCTTCCCTTTCCAACACCACTATGTGACTAGCAAAGACGGGTACATTCTCGCACTCCACCGCATCCCTTCTTCGCGCGCGGCTCACGAAGCAAAGAAGCGAGAAAAGGCAGCTGCACGCCGATCTGGTGCGCGACAGACTCCGCGACACACCGCTAGCAACCGTCCCGTCGTGTTGCTGTGGCATGGGTTCCTCATGTGTTCTGAAGTCTGGGTATGCACGCCCGACCCGAAACTGTCCCTGGCCTACACACTCGCAGACGCTGGATATGATGTCTGGTTGGGAAACACGCGAGGAAACAAGTACAGCTGCAAGCATCGGAACCTGAAGCCGACTGACGAGGCCTTCTGGGACTTTTCGATGGATCATCTGGCATTGTACGATTTGCCAGACGCTGTCGATGTATGTATATATGCCAGTCGTTTGTGCTCATGCATAGAATCGACAGCACATACTCATCAGTGTCTTTCTCTCGTAGTACATTCTTAAAGTCACTGGTGTCCCGTCTCTTTCGTACATTGGTTTCTCCCAAGGAACCGCTCAAGGCTTCTCGTCTCTTTCCATCAATCCTCGTCTGAACAAGCGCATCAACTTATTCGTTGCCCTCGCCCCTGCCGCAAAACCCATGGGTACGTGCGGGCTGCGAGTCGCCAAAACCGGTGATTTTTCCACTTACTTTCTGTTTGTTTCGCACAGGTCTGAACAACAAGTTCCTTGGGACCATGCTTAACATGTCACCCGAGGTCATCTTTTTGCTGTTTGGACGCAAGTCTTTACTTGCGACAGCCCTCTTTTGGCAAAGCATTCTGTCTCCGCTGAGCTTTGCGTGGCTGATCGACGTGTCTTGCAAATTTTTGTTCAAGTGGCACGCGGAAATGATCGACCACAAGAATGTTGTCTACCAGCATCTTTATTCGTACACCTCTGTGAAATGTGTGGTGAGTCGCAAACAAATGGTATAGTGCGTACCGCCTGTATCCGTAGGTAACTGTTTTGCTTTCCCGCCCAGGTCCACTGGTTCCAAATCATTCGCAATGGACGATTCCAAATGTATGATGAAAGCCCCACCGTCCTACCCAACTCATCGTCAGGTCATGTTGTTCCGAAATTCCCCACCGAACACATCCAGACACCCATTGCGCTATTCTACGGCGGGAAAGACACACTTGCAGACATGACCTGGCTACTGGAAGAAACTGCAACTCCCATCTACTGTCTCAAAGTGGATGAGTATGAGCACGTCTGCTTTTTGTGGGCCCGCGGGCTTGACAAGACCGTTTACCCCGCTGTTCTCGGTCTCCTGCACGAGTACGCTGAAACGTGGGCCGACCCGTCCTCCTCCACAGCCGTGACGGTCGAACCAAGCTCTCTCCTCACCGTTCCCTGGATTTCTGAAAAACAGATATCGCAACTGTTGGAGATGGGTCAAGGACACCTTGACGAAAGTGGAACCAAGGTTGTCCTCGATGGCCGAATCAGCGCACATCGTATGTTGATGGCCGGCTCTCAGGTCCTTTCGCGCATGGGCACGTGGTCCGATGGCCTCAGTCCCTTGCTGGACGGCAAAACGGGAAAAGTCATGACAGGCGGATCCATGGTGTCCACGCCTGCCCGCGAGAAGGAGGAAGAGGACGCCCTTCAAGCCGCGATCCTCAAGGCCCTTCACACGGACAAGTCGGAAACGAACCTCGCACCGCTGGTGACAGAACGCGGGAAAGGCGGCGGTCGCCACCCAGTCGCCGGAAACCGCCGTAGCATCTCGTTCTCGGGAAATAACGGCAAGAGCATGGCGCCAATGTCGCGACAGAC